TCGGGGTCACACTATTGACTGTCAGGGCATTCGCCCACTGGCTACTTCGGTCGATCACTCTAAGAAAACGCGTTCTGGACGTCACGTTAGATTCCCAGAATACCTTCACACCTATTTCACATAACTGAGTGACACATCAATTTTTTTTATGTTGCATCATTAAACACGAGTAAACGATATTTTTCCTATAACCGTACATTAAATTAGATGTATATATTTTTCCCGATATTTTGAACATAACATTATCTTACTGTATAGTAGATGCACGTTTTTTTTGGTAAAAAAAACGCTTATTTGGTACATTTTTCTTGACAAGGTTCTCAGCATTCTTGTTTTCTTTTCCAGGTGCAACGGGCACTGGACAGGAAACAAACGAAGCACGGGATCCAACGAACAACATTGAGGAAGCTATGTACAGACACCCTATTAGCATAGGCAGACAGACCAGCAGGCTCTCCATCAAGCCGCTCGGAAGATTTTTTTCACCCATCAGGGAACCATCGAGATTTTTTTACTTCCGGATGGTCATGTCTTAGGGTCCTCACAAACCCACTAGGGGGGAGTGAGCTGTAGCGGTTAATAATTCCCCAAAATTATTAACCACAGCAATCATCACTCAACATTGGATTCTGACCACCACTGTTTAAGTCGACTTGTTTAGCTGAAGGCTTACGGTCAAGCATCCCCACCATTTTGTGCTCCGTCGTGTCACGTTCGTGCACGATTACTAGCTAGCTAAGCATTCACCTCTACCCGCGATTTTGTCCCGAAATATAATACGTACTTTGGACGACAAAATCTGGTCTTTTGCTTTACCATTTGGTACTCGAAGAACGAACACTATAGAAGTTGTTGGTATAAGATCTTGCGTTAGTATAATCCGTACAACTCGCGAACGTCGATACCCGCAGTCTCTAAACTGGTGAGCCCGTCAACCACAAAAAATCCAACAATCCAACAATACAGGTATGGATATTAGTTAGCGTTAAACAGTCACAATATACCGAACAGTTAGTTATAGGTATTATAAGTCAACAAGATTATATCCACAGCTTCAGTGTTCGAAAGTAAAATAGTTACAATAAATTCCATAACTTCGTGGCCAGAAACACCTGAAAAATAAGAGTTTTATATAAATAAGCAAACATAGCGTACTAATCGAAACGCGCGTCAAAATTCAAAAATTGGTTTTAGTCAATAGCAATCAGGGTCAACTCTTTATCTCCCTATGTAGCACACATTTTATTTTTGGTTCATGAGTTCCAAAATAATTTTTATTCTGTTCCAATGCCTTACCTCATCACATTATGTAGTTAAAGCTACAAGGTATATGCAGCTTTTAAATTCTTTTTGTTTCTACGTCCTATACGACCTGTATTCATCTTTCAATATGCTTATAATTTAGTGAAACAAAAAAATGATTGACATGATACTCTCAAAATGTTGAAAACAAAAGGGTAGAGAGAAATCTTCCAATGAACTTTTTATCTTCTCTCCAAACTTCAGTTGTTTTCATAAATTCAATATACTTGATACTTACCTTGAAAATAAAATGGGACCGACTTTCTTCCGGTTTTCTAAGAACATCCTAAGGAATCTATGCTTCCAGGGGACAAAATACACAAACTATGAAATTATGAGACACTTCATGACCATGGTGCATCATGCTAACGTCTCTTAGGCTTTTAAAATAAGATGACGATGTTACTAGGCTTCGTGGAAGTAATTGCAATTAAACATTTACAACCGGAATTATATATATATATATAACCGAAAGGGAGTGTAGTTTATCCCTCACTGAAGGTATTCTTATTGGGTTTGAATGAATTTCAACGTAACAGGTTGATTTCCATTTGTTTTTCATTGTCAACATCTAGGATTACAGCTCCGGAACTTGTTTTAAATTAGTTTTATACATGTGCTCTATCATTTAGTATTACTCGGTTTTCATTTATTTGTAACATTTTTGACTAATATATCCATGTTATCTTGATTTTCCTTTACACTAGAATTACTACACTTATTTCTACCTACATATCATCATGAACTGTCATCAGTCAAAGAACTACTCATAAGCCACAGAGAAGTGAACATCTTTTCGTAGTTTGGGACTCTTCTCTGATACTCACCCATGAAACCACCAAATACCTTCAGGTTACGAGGCGAGCATATTACTATTCATTCACTGGGACAGAATCCAATGGTTCATAAATTCTGAGTTCTCCTACAAATTTTTTTAAAATATTTCGTCATTAAGCGCTTCAATTCCCATTTTGTGGTTGGTTCAACTGTGGCATGTGCTACTGATAAGATTTATCAGTAGTATATAAAGAGATGTTCACTGACATAAAAACATCAAATAGCAAGGAGATAGATTTGAAGTCAGAGAAAGCAAATCACACAGCGTTTCAGAGATACTTGGGTGGCGTGAAAAGAACACAAAGAAACACAATATGTAGGTCAGAAGTAGCACAACACAGAAGATCTGTGCAAATGGTGCGTTGAAGATAAGGTGTAAATAATTCCACTGTGTAGAATACTTTCTGCCTCCTTTGGTCAACACTTGCTTACATGTCAAATGGAGGTGATGCTCTGTTTGTCTTAGATTCCACACTTGTTGGCACTCACCATCACCAGCAGTGCCCTAATTAATACACTCAAACACATTCTCCATCGAGGATTTGAAGATGGATCATTCGTTGTAGAAGTCAACGTCTTATCTAGTCATGAATAATCCTCATTCAAACGTTGATATAAGACCAAATAAATAGTTCAACGCAGACGTACTATTCGGTGATTTCAATCTCGTTAGCGGTAAAAACAAACTGTCATAAAAATAGCTTCTAATAATTATGAATACATAGTAGAATTTGAATGCAAATGAAACAGTTATATAGCAAGATTAAAAATTTGATGAATGAACTATCATAAAGATACACACAAAAATGAAGGAAATATGATATTCTGTATGAATTCGAAAGAATTCATTACCACGGTACTGGGAATGGTTGAAGCCTTCTCTTAAGTATGCTGAGCTACGCCTTCTCTTTCTGGATAACTAGAACTTCAGCGATGTACACGAGGTGATACATGTCGAACGATCAATGCATCTGGCTTCATATGAACAAGTGTACTGAGATTTGCACTCATATCGTCCCTAAAATGGTTCAAAAACACTATAACTCATGGTTGCAGAATGGTAACAACGGCTTCATAAGCAGTGTGATAAAAGAACATCTTGTCAACACTGGCCATGCCATCAGAATAAATTCCTTCTTAAAAAGTGATCTACACAGTGAACAGAAAACTTGCAAACGAGAATACACTATGGCTTCGCTTACACTGCTTAAGCTGTAGGCATCCAAATAGAGACACCGCAATTGTCCGTACAAAAAAGAATTCATCAATCCTTTCCACTATCGTGGTAGTGACCTTCTTTCATATTAGTTTGTTTGTTAGATGTTTCACAAAGTGAAACAGTATTATTTACTGGATGACGTTTCGAACACAATCCAGTATTGTTCATAATCATATCAATTGTAATCACACGACTTCGAAACTTCAGTTTTATAGTTCTCTTTGTTCTCTCCTATTTTTCGTCACTGGGGTAGTAGAATTTTCCAGATATCCGTTTGGACAGGCGTTGAATCATTCCTGTTACACATGTTTGCAGTTGATTCGATAAACAAAGCTTCTGTTATCAATCTCTCCCTCCACCCAGCTGTGACATCAGATTTTAAAACTGTCATCTTATCCCATCCATGCTATTGTGTGGTTGTGTGTAATTGCATGTAGTGCTATAGCTGAACTACTCTCTAGATTTCTTATCTTATTCGGGTCAACCAATCCAGATTTTTATTCCTGCCTTGTTGAGAATTCTGCGTAAGGTTACCGAAGTTCCTTCCTTGCATGGAATTACTGCTGATGATTTAGATTGCCTATTGTTGGTGATGTGTTGCGCATGTTTGACATGCATGTCGTCATCAATATTACTATTGTTATTATTATTATCACTATCACTACAATCATTATTTATTTTATTTTTATTTTTCCATTTCCCTACATACTTCCTGACTAATTTATCACGGTAATTATTAAGTTTCACAGCTTCTCTTATGTACCTCACATTCTGTCTTAAATTTTCCTCGGTACTAGTTAGTTTTGTGCTCTATTACTTAAACATTTCAGCAATCCTATTTTCACTGACATAGGATGGGATGATCGGAAGTCCAAATATCTGTTTGAATGTGTGGGTTTCCTGTAAACACACTAGTGTGTTTAACTTCCCATCTTCTTTCCTTTTCACTCTACAATCTAACATTCGAAGCTCCCCTTCCTGACTTTCTAATTGATAAGTGAATTGAACTGCCTCCACCTTTGAGTTAATGTGTTCGAACACAGGATATAGACACATTTTCCGGTGGTTCAATGGTAGAATGCTCGCCAACCCCAACACACGTGGTCCATGATTTGATCCTCAGCCGACGCCCTCCCTAAAACTCGCTAAGTCGGTAAAGAGGGAGGGCTTGGCGTGAGGCTAGTAACCCTACACCGTAAAAATAAAATCACTGCTACCGAAACATTAGAGTCCTAGCTTGAAGCTCGGAACGTACAGAAATAAAAACAAACTTGAATAAAGCAAATTATTGTGATGCACATTGATTACGCTGTACCACACAAAGTACGCAGTTGGCTCAGTGTCATACACTTCTTATGAAACCTATTCACTACCTTCACATACATTGTTCACTTTATTTTTGTAGGACACCACAATTTCGTCACACAGCTAACATGCAATCGTGTTAATTTTGGCCAGTCATTCTCAAGGTCCAAAATGTAGTGTGAACCAATGAAATCTTTGTGTAAACAACAAGTGTTATATCACCTCAGCCATACATTGTGCATCAGTTCAGTGCAAGATTACAAACACATGCACACAAAAAGAGAAAGAAATTTCAAGTGAAATTCGGTTGAAGTCATCGAATCAGATTTGGCAGAGTGGTGGAGTGGGGTGGGGTGGCTTAAAACACTTTCAAGCACTTTTCACTTAAAAATAACTGGTGAAATAAAAGGAGTGAATTATTCGAATTATTATTATTTTTATTACTGTTTTCATCTTCACTAGACTTCGAATTAAACTGTGTTGAGTTGTACAGTTAACTGGATAACTAGTTTCACAATAAAAAAATATATACTTTGAAGCTTACACAACTCAAATGTCAATATTTCGCATCTCATGTTTTCTACTGATCGTGATAATGGCAATATGTACATTGATTACAGGATTAGCCTTGGCACCATTTTGGGGAAGTGAGTTATTTTTTACACTTGTAATTGTCATTGGATCTATAATGTTTGCCTGGTTGCTGATACTAACTTGATTACTTGGAAATGTATTCATCATAACTTTTGAAAACAATAACTGTGAATGCACTGAATGGTTATAGAATAGTTGGATTACTAATAGTTAAAGATTGAAATTAAAAATTATAGAAATTAGTTGCATAAGAAACACTATGTGGCATGAAAACCACTAGTGTGTACCGTATTACTTGTGTTATTGATTAGACACGTTACAGCAACCCTTTTTTTATTCCTTCACATTCTCAGTCGTATATAAAACTTCAAGCTAGAGGCGCGGAGTTTCAGTAGCAGCGGTGTTAATTTTTATAGGATGGGGTTACTAGCCTCATACCCAACCTTCCCTCTTTACCAGTCTTATTACTGGCTTATTGTGGTAAAGGAGTGTGTCGGCCGGGGATCGAACCCAGGGCCACGTGAGGCGTGGTAGGCGAGCATTCTACCTTTGTGCCACCGTCTTACAGCAACCTTACTGAACTTAAAATGCCTAATTAACCAGTCATTCAGCCCACTAACTGACACCTGAGTACTGATAATAAAACGCAAATCAAAAAGACCCAGTTAGTCAGTAATGTACTTTGATGAGAAATGTATTTGAGAAGGATAAAATATTAAGGGAAAAGAGTTTAACTGAGCTGCGGACTCTGAGTATGTTCGTGTTAGCAGAACAAAGAATGGGCTCAAAATGGCGTCCGAGCTTAGTAAGATGCACACCTGTTAAAACAAAACTTAAAACTTCTAAAGCAGCTGTAGACAGGCTAGAGGTTTATTTAGTGAATATTAAGTTGATTTACTTTGATCCTTTAATTTTAGCGCTAGATTTATTTTGACACCGTAGAAGATGAACTATAACCAGGTTAAGCTAAATTGGTTTCTAAAATTGTATAATTTCATGAGGGAATTTTCTTGAGAAAAGAAATAAAGTTAATGAATGGGTGACAGCGAACATTTACTAAGTGAAATATCTTATTTTATCAAACATTTTCTGTATTTCAATATCAAGTATGTTGAAGGTATGACAGAATATCCAAGTATAAACACTGCTTTAAAAATGATTGACAATAGTAATAGCTTCATTCTAAATAGTGTTTATATAATATACAGAAACTCCAGCAAAGTTTATTCCATGGTATTTTCTCTTCATCCAGGATCTTGAAGTAAAATATGAACTGACAATAGATTGTATGACACAGTTTTAACTGTTCTGAAGCACATCACCACTCCATCGTGATATTTCTTCTTCGTCTCCTTCTTGAAATACACGATAATTGGTTGAAATTCGGATCCACTAATCATAAGTTCACACACTGTTTCATAGAGGCATGAGTTATATGGATTAGGATGAACACCCATGTAATATCTGAAGCTGTTCTGTTTTCTAAGATCTGATATGAGAAATAGAGATAACATAGAGTGTAATTCTATTGTGGATAAAATTTATTCTGATAAAGTTTCACAGTGTTATACAGTAACATTTACTGATGACGTTTCGAGCACAATTTATTGCTGCTCATAATCATATCAAGTTATTCACAAAACATTCCAACTCCGTTTATATAATTCCATTAATTTTTATCGCTTGACTCGATTGGTAGTAATGTGGTGAGAGCTGTCTACTAGCCAAATCGGTAGACAGTAATTTACGTCAATATTTACGTTCCCAAGATTTGTCGTGAGAAACAATCAATGGGAAGACTGTGTTTGTTTGTTTGTTTACATATCCATAGTAATGTACATGAAAACATATATAAATATGCGTTGATTTCCTTAATAAATGATCTGTTGCCTGACTCTTGCCTTTCTGTCGTTACAGTAGTACTTCCCATATTTCTGGTATGTGTGATGAGTCATTCCTATTGCATGTGTTGGGTGTAGACTCGATGAACCAGGCAGGATTCAATAATCAACCTCTCTCGCTCTCCACCTACCTATATTACTTCTTAGAATTGTAACCCTCTCTCACTCTACTATGTGCTTGTCTGTTAATGCATGCAGTGCAATTGCTGAGTTCCTTTTTCCACATTACTTAACTTCGTAAGACCAACCATTCTAACCTTAGTTAAATTCTTATATTTTCGATAATCTCACCACTCCTGATCTACTAGTTCGACATATGTAGTTGACTTAACTCACAGTCATTGCAAGGTATTTTGTGAATTATATTAGTTTGTCTAATTGGGTCAGCCGACAGGGTCCTTTGACCTACCTGAGTGAGTTTGTAGGTTAAAATGCCACCCTTATTCCCGCTTTATTAAGAATCCAACGTAGGGTTTCAGATGCCTTATATTCTTTCTTATTTATGTTATCATTACTAGTTTCACCTCGTAATGAATTTTATAGGATAGTTAGTTACTTAACACGAACGCTTCTTCTATCCGTTTCATTTCATCATTTGGGTTTTTTGTTGTTTTGCTTGGCGCTATTGCTCTGTTTGTCAGACATTTAACTGAGCCTGCCCTTGCAAATAACGAATGGATGAGATGAATAAAAGTCTAAATATCTATTAACATAATGCGTTGGCTTTTTATAAACGCTAGTGTGCAGTACAGTTTACCTTTTTCTATTCGTTTTATTTTACGGTCTAACATAGCTGATTCTCCTTGGTCATTTTCCTATTCAAATTATGGATAAAATTTTATTTTGTGCCATTGAACCAGCTGAATGACATGGTTGTTTATAGACATTTTACAATTCTCGCTAGTTACTGGCTGAGGTCATCCTTATCGGTTACTCATCAAGCCCTTTATTCACAATTTTCTCCCCGGATCTCTTCGGCTACAACGAGAAGTGATCCCATAAGAATTTATGCTCGCTCGTACAGTTAAATATGAAAAATTCAACTATACCATTTTCACCTAGGGTGTTGTATGATGAGTGAAATGTCAGAAAAGAACTAACTAACTTTATAATCTGCAAATAAATGACAGCGTATTCCTAGCATTATTATTACACACTAACTTCTCGTTTCTATAGTTATCTAGTTTGTTCCTAATTGTATAAGAAGATAAATGGTTGTTGCAATATGTTTGGAATAAAGTGATTAGTGCTAATATGATTCTTAACAAAGGGAGGCGAAAGACTGAGCGTGAAACTAGCATCTACACGTCCACAAATACCACACCATTGCTAGTGAAACTTTACACTCTGAGGTCATATTTACCATTAGGAATACTAGGAATGAAGACGAAAAAAGATGTCTAAAACCAATTGGAATGTTGAACAAGTCACTTATCGTAACATATAGACAAATGAGGTTTCTAAAGTGATGCGTAAACTAAAGTGAAGCACAGAAAGACGATGTACTTTCTTCCAAAATGTTTTGCCCCTTTATTTAATTCAATTGTAGATTTTCCGGTAGATTGATTGAAACCAAGTACTCGGTCTCAGGTTGACATGTCGGCTTCTTGGGTAGATGCTTCGACAATGTCAGGGCATGTAATCAGAAGTTAATTGGTGGATGGTGACTAGCAGTGGGATCCAGGATAACACGCATTTCGTCCTGTTTGGGACTGGTCACCTGGATGTACCTGCTGGATGTAAATAATTAATATGACCCGTTGTACAAGAGGGGGTCCAGTGGCTCAGGTGCTCTAGTGGATAATGTTTTGGCGTTTGAAACTATGGGCACTGGGTTCGAACCTCATCACTGACTCACTGGGGAATGCAGGTACATCCAGCTTGGACGAGTCCCAAATAGGACGAAATGCGCATTATCCTGGATTCCATTGCTAGTTACCATCCACAAATTAACTTCTAGTTTTGACCCTCCGTTGTAGAGAGCATTAGAAGTATTGAAAGGAAGTAAGTGTTTTGACTCTATCATCAATATTAACTCACCAGTTAGTGAGTCAAGAAACGAAATATCAACTTTGAAAAGTAGTCAGTTCTTAGTGTTATTATTATTATTTAACTTTGTAAATATTTATTTTTACTCACTAATTTATTCAAACCTGTGTCTATGTAGATTTAGTTCGAGCATGATAATAATAATAAGATTCATTATATATTCTACACATAAAATGTTTCGTCCAATATCTCAAGTTTAAGATTCAGTAAATACACAGTGCCTTTTAATAAGAAAACAAATGAATTTAAAAATACCGCCAATATTTTGAAAAATCAATAGGGTCATATGTTACAGTTTATTATTTATGTCAGAAAAAGGACAATAACTGAGAAAGCAAAGCATAGACTGCATCAATCTATTAAGCCTAATGATCTGATGAAGAGGTTATTAGTTACGATAAACCTGGTGAGAGCAGATTATTTGGCTATTTATATTGTCATCATGAGCTGACATTGGTAAGAGAACCATTGAAAAACCATTAGGGAGTACTGGACAACGGTTTCGTCCTAGTTAGAGACTCTTCATCAGTACGCATTCACCGAGGTTCGAACCCAGGACCTGGTTACAAGGCTAGCTAACTCGTAGACCATTAAACCACTGGGACCTGATCCCATGACCAGTACATGAATTCTAACTTCTGACAATTCTCGATATGGCGCAACCGCTGGCCAATGTCTTCAGCGAGTATTTATCCTCACACCTGACCTGCTGCACCCTACTGGTTAGGACTTCTCACTAGAACCCCAAGTAACTGCCTTCCTGAATAGCGAAAGTTGCTAGTGAGCATCTCAAGTGTTGGTTTGTAGGAACAGCTGTCCAGTACTCCCAGGTGGTTCTCCAATGGTTCTCTAACTGCTGTCAGCTCATGATGAAATCCTGTAACCAATCAACCAAATCCCCACAAACCAACATTTGAATATTTTTATTTTGTTCTTATATCTAAAGACATCCTAGTAATTTGTTCTGTTTCGTTCTCTAAGCTAGTTGACTGGCTCGCTAAGCTTATATTTACCTCAAGCGCAGCATCTTCATCACTATCAGTATACATTTACATGTTATGTAATAGGTGAACTCGATGTTATGGGAAGTATTTGGAATTCTA